CGCGTAAAGGTTTGTGTCCCTGTATTGTCAGATGTAAGAGGAACTGGAAATGGGGGTTAGGGAGGGAAGGAAGAAGACCAGGCTGGCAGAAGACAGGACGGGGGGTGGGGGGGAGGGAAGCTCAGGCAAAGTGCACCCTGCCCCTTCCATCCTGTGTCCACGGGTCAGGAGGCTTATTCAACCCAGACTCCTGGCCCCGGAGCTGAGAACTTGGAAACATATTGTGTTATGCTCTGGAACAAAAGATTACAGTAAAAGAACTAACATTATGGTCTATTCTGGAAGGGGCATAGGACTGATGGCCTGGGAACATGGCGGGGTCCCACGCAGGGAAGGCCACACCAAGGGCCATCCTGCCTCCCTCTCTGCAGGAAACCCAGTGGCTTCTGGGCATCTCGGCGGGGATAGCAGTCCATTAACAGCACCCTCCTGTCTCATACTTGCAATTTCAAAGGAGATTCCTCAGTATGGAAAGTCAAAATGGTCTGGAAATACGTGGAAAAACCCTGACCCACAGTATCACTCTGCAGAGGAGTAAGCAGAAGCAGGTGTGGTGTATTTTGCTGAAAAGGGAGAAGAAAGCAGGCCAAGGGACGGGGACAATATCTGAGCCCGTTTCCCTCTATCTCTGCAATCAAGTGTCGGGCTTCAGCAGCACTCGAAAGGCTTAACTGAAGGCAGACAGCCTGCTTCTCACTGAAATGCAAGACTTTTGAGCAGTTACCTTGCCACTGATCTCTGCTCCATCTTGTTCAAGAATGCATTAGAGCAAGGGATTCTTCCTCAGCTCACAATTCTAAAGCTTTTCTCGGTAGCTTCCTGGCAGTAGTCTTGTAAGGGGCAGAGATTTAGCTCGAGCCACAGAAGAATTATTATTCCTCTGGAGTCTCCTACTGCCCTTCCTCTGGCAACCCTCACTATTCCTGCCACCCCCTCGGCTGTGGAAAGACCAGAACCCCCTGCCGTGCATGTGAGTGCGCAGGCACAGACGCACCCCGTGTCCAGCAACAGCCAGCTGTCTGGGTGTAGGCCCTGCAGAAACCTCACCTACATGGATCAGAGCCTGGGCAGAATAAAGCAGGAGGTCAAGGACAAGTGCAATCTGAAGGTCACTACACTGACGTTACTGCTCCCGTGAATTTATTCAGAAAGTTCCCTTCAGGGCTGCAAGTCAAAGTCTGTTTCCTCCAAATAACTATAAGGCACATGGCTGTGGAGGGCGCATATCTACAGCATCAACGTAGAATGAGGGAGGAGGGAAATCAATCTGGTGACTTGAAACATCTTCAAACCAGGCATGAGCTTGCTGCCTTTCAGCGCCCCTCCCACAGCTCCCCTTCCCCATCTGATGTGCATCAGTCGCCCCCCAGGGACGGGAGCCACAGGGAGGCAGACTTTCCTTTTACTGATCTTTACCTCCATGTGGTACAAGGGAGGGGAGAGAAAACACAGAGAAGTCAGCGGGAAGCAGTAGTACACCCACCATGGCAGAAAACTGTACTCCTAAACAGGTGGGGAAACCCAGCACGGTGGTTGCTGTTTTCTGTGGGATCCTGCTCCCTTCTCGCCAGTCTCCTCTGCGTTTCACACTCTAGTGATGCCCCCCGATCCAGGGACTTTGTGTCTGTCACACTGTTTCCTCCCAGGACCTCTGGGCTGCTCTTACTTTGACCAACCTTCCAAACTTGCTCTGGCTCAGCCTTCTCATAAGTCTTTCCCAGACCTTCCAGCAGACCCACGGGCTCCCACCTCTGGGCATCTCCAGACCCCTTACTGCCTGTAAACACGCTCCCTCCTGCTCATCTCTCCTGCCAGAAGACGCTGGACTCCCGAGGCAGGAGAGACAGCAGGACGATGGCCATGGCATTAATAGCCTTGGCTGTTTTTAAGGGACACTTTCACAGCTTCGCATTCTGTGCAGTCTCCAAAACAAACAAAACAAACATTTCATACAATTCCACAGGGCTCTGTCCAAAGTCACACTCAATCTTTCCCTACTAATAAAGGTCACAGTTTGAGACATACCTAGCTGGCTCCAGGTTATGCTTTGATACTCTACCACATTCTCACAGGTTCTAGAAGCTATTTTGCCCTCACTGCTGGTGCTCTATGAAAGAAAGATCCCAGTCTTAATTTTCCAAAGATTTCTCAGTGGGGGAAAATGCACATACTCTTAAGCCAAACATGTCCTTACTTCTCAGGAGAATATAGTAATTTTCTAGTAGAGTTGCTTTGCTTCTGGTTTGGAATTTATATACTTAAAAATGCCACGCATAGTTTTAAAACCATGATGTTCAAATCTTGATTAATACTAGTACCAAAAGTGTGATTATGAATGTATGTGTGTATTTGCATGTAAGTAATATATACATGCATAACATATAAATAATTAATGCATTTTCAATGATTAGAAGATATGATTATTAAATAATTATTTTCCACTTCTGGGTATATCTGGAGATAAGTATGAAGTCAGAACACAGAATGTACTTAAAAAGTAAGTCACTAGGATCACAGTGAATCGGGCATGTAGAGATTCACGTTACCCCTTCTTATGATGAGAATCTCAGGAAGAATCAGCGCAGTTCACTACCTGGCAGGTGCTGCAGAAATTAATGTGGTGCTTCTGCTTGTGCAATTGAAAAGGGTGATTATGAAGACAATGTTACAACATTTAAAAGAAAACATCTTCCTTGTTCATTAGGTGTTTTCTCTTTTTCCTTGTTCCTCATAATCCTTGGAAACATAAAAATGTACATCTATTTTTACACAGTCTTTATTACCTTTTAATATTGGCTCTTTTGGTTGTTATGCCATTTATTTAACTAAGTCTCCTATTTAGGGACATGTGCTAATTTCCCAGGTTTTCATATTAATAGTTAATGGGACATAAATAAATGGTAGGTAGGTAGCCCAGCTTTGGAAAAAAATCTCCTTCTTTAGGACAAAAGCCCAAAGCAAGATTATAAGACTAGATAGTATATGTATGTCAAACAGCAGAATAGCCTTCCAAAACATTGTACTCATTTATAAAACCTCCTACACTGTACCAGAGTCACTAAACCTTGGCAGACCTGGATCTATAATTCTCTTTCCACCTATCCCCAAAACAATAAATAGAAAATACTTTCTCATCGTTTCAGGGAGATGTGATATTTTCCCATTTAGTTATTTCCTATTCTAAGTAAATCTCAAGGAATAAGCTACTAACAGTAATGATGAAATCCACAGGTGTATTTTTTATTTATATTTTCATTGTATTATAATTACCCTAAGAATTATAGCACTAGCAATCTATTTCATATATGAAATATATATCTATTTCATACATGCTTTCTTTTAGAAAAACTATGCTCAAAGAAGAGAAAATAAAAATTACTGCATCAAGTTTCTCATCTTTCTCTCACAGTAAACAATAACTCTATGTTTATATATTAAAATATTAGCCCTTTTATAACTCTTAGATATTAGTGTATATAGAGAGATCATCCATTTTCTCTAGGGTATTAATATGGTTATCTGTTAAGGATACTTAAAAAATTATGAGGAATTGGGTTGGAAAGTGAGGTCTAGGGCTTGGCAGAGCGTTACAAGGATCAGGGCTCAGGAAGCGTGTGAGGAGCCACTTGGCTGTGTGCTCGGGGAAGCCTGCTTGCCTTTCTGAACGTGTCACAGCCTTCTCAATACTTTGGAAGTTAGCAGTCTTAGACTCTGCCTTTCCTGCTGACACCAACATGGTAAATTTTTAAAGCAGATCATTTCTGTCTTTGTTCTTCAACACAAACATTATTCCTTTGTTTTCAACAAAACCTTGTTTCAGCACTATAGAGAGTTCAAAACTTAAGATGAGGTTCTATTTCAAAAACAGAAAGCTACTTGTCAAAACTCAAAGTCTATTTTTAATATTAAAAATAAGTTTTACTTGAAAATTATGCTCATATGCTGCCCCATAGGTGCTTGTTTGATAACATATCTGACTACCGGGCCTTTTCAAGTACCAGAGATTACTGTTTTCAGCATCCTTTTGCAGAGGGAGACAGCATTTACCGTCCTAGCTCTGAATGCTGAGAAACCATGGACCCTCCCACCACAGGGGCTCTCTCAGCAAAGACCCCTGAGGACACTTCATAGGCAGGATGGACATCTACTTCTAGGCTGAGTTGCCGGAGAGAAATCAGATGTGTTCTGAGGGGGAAATCTATCAGGTTAATGAGCAGAAATACGATGTGAAATTGGAGAACTTGGAGAAATACGTATAAGTCACTGTGACACTTACAAAAGCAAGCAAGTCTACTTAATATTTATTCTCTTGTGAACACAGAACGTGAACCCAGAATGCAGCTGGAGTTTGACTAAATGCAGCAGAAGTACAACCTCTCAGTTGCCTTAGAAACAGGCCCTGTCCTCATGCTAATGATTCTATAATAAGAAACAAAGTGCATCGCAGTCATGGGCAGAGCAACAGGTGTCTTGGGAGGTAAGTGTGTTTGGCAGTGCCTAGAAGGCTGGAAGGTCCATGCACTTGAGCAATGGTCAGCGGATGAGACCGCATAGAGGCAGGTGTGGGTGAGCAGGTAAGACAACTACACGAGCCCGAGTGCTTCAGAACCTCCCCAGTACTGCAGAACCCACGGCTCTCCCCACGGGAGAGTAACTTAAATAAACCAGCAGTTCCTTCCCACACTTCCCACAGTGTTGCCTGGATTGAGCAGGCTCCTGACAGGGGCAGGAGCAGGCAGACAGGACAGTATCCTGGGAGGCCAAGAGCTCTCCAAAGTCAGCCCGGGAGGAAAGGCAGCAGAGTACACAGGTGCATAAGAGAAATAACTTTCAGAACTCATCCTCCAGTAGCTCCAAATTAAAGGAAACAAAAGTAGTTGTCCTCTAGCGAGCAGAGGTGGGGGCAGGTCTCCATTTTACTGTGCAGGTAATCATCAGTGCATCCACATTAAACAATACAGTGTTGGAAGTCTGTTTAGTTGCAAGGTTTCCAAACTCACCTCTGAAAGCACTAATGTCCCCATAGTGTACTTGTAGTACAAAATATTTACTTCCAGTCTCTCCTCCAACTCGGAATCCAACACCTGAAGACGTAAGAAAAAAAATTTTAGAAATTGAAACCTAAAATGGAGCTAATTTAGTGTTAGTATCTATGAAATTCCAAAGAGAAATAAAGTAACATATGAAGTTGTATGAAAGCCAAAATAAACGGGACATTGACCGAAAATTTCTAACACATTCCGTCAGGACTTCTTAGAGCTCTGATGGAATTCTATTCACAGATTCCTCATCAGAGCCAGAGTGTCACTTACGCTTTAAGAGGACAATTCGCTCCCTGGGAAAGAAATGGAGCAAACAAAACAAAATTCCGTCCTGTTGATTATTTAACAGACGTACATAAACCCAAACCCAAGCTCTCATTTTGCTTTTATTCCTCTGTGTTCATTTTATTTTCTGATTGAATATAGGGAATAGACTTAGGGGCATCTCAGGGGAATTACCTTTCTTCCCCTGTGAAAACAGGTGTCTACAAAAGTAACACTGAGGCCATCAATTACCAAGTAGATTATAAAGTCTAGTATGTCAGTGAATTTTTGGAACTTAAATCATCTTACTTTAAATAAAGTTTGCTAGTGAGCTAAAAAAAAAAATCTACGAGAAAATACAAGCAGAGGAAAGCATTTTTTTTTTTTTGGCTTTACTAATGAATCTTTAAAATGTCAATAAATCTATGATGGACACAGGTCCTGTTAGTTTCTAAGTGTGTGTGGCCATGGCCCATCGGCAAACACAGAGAATTCTGAGTCTCAGCTGACATAGACCAAACAGATATGGATTAATGCTGCTGGTGTGAGTGAGGGTGGCAGGGCAGGGCACGTGCCTCAAAGGACCATCCTTGAACCACAGGCAGACTTAATTTGTTGCAGAACCACACACGCGCTTTAATATTAGGAAACATCCAGGTAATAAAAGAGAGCCTGGTAATTCACACACACTCTGGAAACTCTGAGCAGTTCAGAGGTGAAGTCAGAACGCCAGCTGAGGTCTGGCACCGCAGTCAATACCCCAGTCCCAGGACTGTAAAAACAATCTCTGCTGAAACAGCAGTTTATTTAATTCCTAGCTCTCTTGGCTCACGAAATGCTGCTGCTGTCAAGAACCAATGTGCGTTAGGCCAAAGGTGGCCTGAGGGCTACTTGGTTATTTTCTAATTCTATCCAGGCTTCTGTGTGGGTGAAAGCGCAACTATCTAAACAAACCCCTTCAGTGCAAAGTGGGGAGCACAGGTACTTTACTGTAAAGTCACAAAATGGGACACTGTCAACCAATGTTAGGAGGGGCTATAAAAAATTACACTTTGGAAACAGAAATTAAGCAGCTTAACGTAAGCCAAGTGGCTTTGGACGCACCTTTCGGGAGTCTAGTGGGGGGAGCATTTCTTGCCCAGGCGTACAGAATGTTGGCTTTATCTGCACAGGTTCCTTCATCACAAAACCTGCAGGAAACACAGTAGGTATAAATGAAGATTCAAGTAGTAAGATGCAGGCATTCTCTCTGTTGGAGGAAAGCAGAGTGAGGTAGGCTCCTGTAAGTTGACCACCCAAGGGACGGTGACAAACTGGTCAACATTCGGAGGTGGTCGACCTAAGGAACTGGGCCTGCTGTGCTGATACGTACATGGGTGACTGTCCGGTCTGTGACAGTTAGGTCAGCTTAAGGAGGTGGTCAGTGGAGGGGGGTGGTCACTAGGGAGGCTCTACTCTTTATCAATATATCATTATTATATCGTATCAGCTTCAAGATCCTCGTGAGGGTTAGAGCACAGAACAATTTCTAGGTGAAGAAAATACACCTGAAGGGAAAGTTTCTGAGTTGCTTGAGGCAAACACTTTCCATATGCAGCTATGCAGAGACAGAATTCCATATGCAGAGACAGAATTCCATATGCAGCTATGCAGAGACAGAATTCCATATGCAGCTATGCA